CAGATGACCACGTTGTCTTCCACTTGTCGTTGACAATATCACCCCCTCATTACTCGCTAATTGCAATACCTAATAGGATTTATCGATTGCACAACGGGTAACTCAAATGATGTAGACACTTCTTATCATTCGTGAGCACTTGAGTTCAAACCCTGTTATTGGTTGTAATCTTGGGTGTTTTTTTGTGGACATTTGTTGGTCTTTACATCTCATTTCAATTTAAGAGCGGTATATTCATTTATTTTTCTCGATAACAAAACTACCGTCACATAGTGTGCCTTTTTCGCCTATATCTAGGTTTCGGTTAACCATACATAGAACCTGTCTTAATTTTAGGTACATGATCAATTAAAAAGTATTCAAGATACTAAAAGTGTGAATATATTTTTAGTTTCTTATGCTTTTTGTTATGTATTTGTTATCTCTGACGTTGTTATTAAGAAACACATGCGTGGTGAAACCGGAAGTGACGCTGGTTCAGTCATATCTTGTACAGTTAATTGCGTAGGCAGTTTATCAATCTTGTGTATACTTCTTTTGTTTTTAGGTTTATATACACAAAATATGAACAACACAGTAAAAAAAATGAACGTTCCAGCTACACAAACAGATGCTAAAATTCCATAACACGTCTGCATCTCCATTGTTGAACAAAACCAGTTTTGGTATGAAGATGTTTCATTCGCGGCTGCAAAGATACATTATTTTTATTTATTTATTATCAGTTTGCATGTATTGATGTTGATTTTATATAAACAATTTCAGAGTATACTATTAACATTATGTTAACCCTCTGTAATTTTGTACGAAATGCATGTAAGCCTTTTCCTCAACAACCCACTCAGTATACTTTATTTCATTATATACAAAAAAAGAAACCAAATTCACAATTGATAATACATTTTCGATTTATTGTTATCTGTATAATTTTCATACCGTTTAACATTCAGTTAAATCCACTCGTTTCAACGAAATCCAGAAACATTGTAGTCCCGCCCAATATTTCATTTAATTACAAGTCGTAATGTGTTATTAAAAAAAACAAGTGCACGGACCTATAATTATTGTACTATATGAATGATGCATTCGACTTCCTTTCGTGAAAACTATTTCATTGATAACATTGTTGCTACTTTTAATTTTAGCAATGAACCTCCTTAAGTTGACACGTTAGTCATTGATCATTGAGGAAGACCGTACGGTGAGCTGTAGGTGCTTACATCCATGCATTGTCAATTGGTATCTAATGGATGGTTGTCTCCTTGGATATCGTACAACATCTTTGTTTTTATGAATCAACCGTTGAAACATGTTTTTTTTTAAAGAGAAATGTGTATTGTATTTGAAAACTGTATAGTCATTATTTACCAAAGTGTTGCAATTTGTAACCTATACTGATCATTTCTCATGTTTGCAAGTATTTCCTCGTTACAGCACCTATGTTAGTTTGTTGTCGACTTCCTAGTATAGTTACAATTACTGTGTAATTAAATTTCCTTTTTTCAACCTGTCTTTTGTTATTTTTGCGGGTTTGGGAGATTTTTGTTAACAAAAAAAATTCAGTCTAGATTCCAAGGAAAACGAATGTCTCTTTGCTATGGTTTGTGTATAGCATCTTTAATAATAAAGCTTCCTATGAACCAATACATACACTAGCTTGTAATCCTAGCCATTTGCCCTTAGAGAATTGAACGCAGCAAAAACATTTGCTTTGGTCTTTATTTGCAATTTCGATGCTAGACTTTTTGATTTTTACAGTCATTTTTCTAAGAAACTCTAACACATTCTGACCAGAACAATTCATTAATACCTAACATGTACATCCACTTACAATAGCTATTGTTACTGCTGATCGATATACTGCTTCCTGTTGAAACACTACTTTCTGTTGTAACAATACTTTCTGTGGTAACACTACTTCCTGTTGTAACACTACTTTCTGTTGTGACACTAATTCCTGTTGTAACACTATTTTCTGTTGTATCACTATTTTCTGTTGTATCACTATTTCCTGTTGTAATCTCATTTTCGGTCGTAGCACTGCTTGTTGTAGATGCGTCTGATGTGCAATTGACTATAAAAATAAATACTTATCATATATAGCAAAATATTGTCAATAAATTCAAGTTTTTCATTTATGATATATGTAAGAGTTGTGTTACCAAAATGTTTTATTGAAGTAGAATATTGTTACGGCTATCTCGCATCAGAGTTCCAGATTCTGACCCGCTGAAAACCTATTGACTGTTAACCAATCTAGGGCACCTGACGTTATTTCCGGTATCAAGTTCGATTCATATTTCTTTTCTTTAGTTTTGTATTTGGTTTTAGTTATACTTTGTTTGTTACTATTTACTATATTCTTATCTGTTCTGCATGTGTCATATCTTTTTTCAAACTAACTTGCAATGTTCGGTTGTGCTTCCAAAATAGAGGATTCACTACCAGTGGGTTTTCAAAAATAAAAACTAGACATTCATTAATGTCTTTGATAAAAAAAAACAATTTAACATTTTTATTCAATGTGTGAAAAATAATCTAATATCTTATTTGTGTGGGTAGACAATTTGAATATGTGATTATGGGGAGGTCAACAAGGCATTAATGTAAAACTAGAATATTGGATTATGACAAACCTTCCGATGCAAACTCCCACTACCCCCCTTCCCCCAATCCTTTTTTTTTTTTTTTTTAATTTTACTCAAATTCTTTTTACCGTTATTCTCCTTTAATTTCATTCGGGAAATGATCAAGTACATACATGTATAAATGAACAAAAATTCAAAGTACAAAGCAGCATTTATTTAACGACAAAGAACGTAACAGTAGGTTTACTTTTATAATATGTCTAGGTTAGTCTATGGAAAGGTATATGCTATGAAATTTAGAGCGAGGGGCTTGCCCCGAGCTCTTAATTTCATAGTATATACCTTTTCATAGACTATCCAATTTAGCACATATTTACAACTCGAGTAATCTTTTAATTGGTCTATAATTGATAGTTTATTTTGGCTGACTACTTGTATCACAGGTGTTTGTAAAACGGAGCTCATTATCGAATTTTATGTTTTGTAAATCTACTCACTAGTATCATTGTAAAATATGTGATTTCAAAAGGCCCTAGTGACTCCAGAATGAAAAGATGATAGCTGCTGGTGTAAGTATGTATATTGATATAAAGCGGTGTTTTACTATACATGTACTTCTTTACATGGTAAGATGACAAAATTAATTGACCAAAAGCAGACAATAATTAAATTGCAGTGGAAGCTTTATATGTTTTGAAAACACTTTTCAATTTCACAGTAAAACTAAAGTTATAATAAATTAAGATTATTTGAAACATATAGATAGTTTGTCCCCCTAGATAGTCTAGCGGATAGCATTAAAAAGAAACTACCAATAGATCAGAGATTATAGGTTTTGTGTTTTTTATGGGGTTTTTTTCAAAGTAAAAACTAAAAGATTAATCAGAATATGTATATATATATATAGGTGGCACAATCTCTTCAGACATTATCACGGTTTTTCAATTCAAGACATGCATGAAATATTTGCCACTGGACATTAAGCAACCAGTAATCATTCAATCAATTCATGACGAAATAGATCAATTTCCCCAAGAAAGTTAATAAAATCACCAAATTGCCTTAATTTCCCTTCACAATAATTCATAGTTACTGTACACACTTTTTTTTATGTACAAAGTAGTTGCATTGATGATAAATTATTACAATTTTAAGATAGCCCTGTACTCTAATCAAGGTATAAAGAACCATATTTGTTACTCTTTATTTAAATGAAAAAACTTGCAATTTTCAAAATCATTATTTAATTCCAAAGATTTTAATAGCAGGATATGTAAAAATCAACGTGAAAACTAATTACAAACTATTTAATTTAATTTGGAAATTTTATTTCAAAATAGCCAGTGGCAATTTTTGTTTTCATATCTTGATTACGATACAATGAAATCTTACCCTTGTGGTCATTCATGCGTAGTTACTTAGTACACGGAAAAAGTATGTACTATGAAAATTAGAAGGCAAATTCAAGCAATATGAGTGGACGAGAAGTTGTAAGTATGTGCTAAATTCTGGTTACAAAAATGTTTTAATTAAGACAAAGACACTAGACTTCACACATACTAAATGGATCGACAAACATGCATGCATATATATACTAATGATATAAGCGTTTCCACTTTAATATTATTGCAGAACAATGTATCAATCGATATGTTAAGTCCATTACTACAACCTCCAAAGCATTTTTAGAAAATGTTCAGATGGATAAATACTTTAAAATAATGTATTTAAAAAAAATCACAAAAAAATCATCATTAAGACTGTAGTGCTACCTTAAACACGCAATGAGTGTGATTTCCTGACTGTAGTTGATACACTTAACTACTAAAAAATCACTTAACATTGATTTGTTAGTGTAACATTAAACTTAAATGAACAAATCAAGGGTATAACTCAGGAACGCAGTCAAAATCTAATTTAACCTGTGTTAAATGGCCTCTCTGATCTTTTTCAAAGTTTCAATTGATAATATCAGGGATAAAACCTGAACTTCGTATTTACAATCAACAATCACTTTTCATTAAATTAAAACTATCCTGTCTGCATCCGAAAACCCGCTAGAATGGCATATATTGTTATCGTATATATAGTGAAAAGGCGAATTTTGCTTAAAATTTAGAAATATCTTAACTGGCTTACTTATCGACATACATGTAATAATGTATTACTTATAAATAAGAGTCTAGAACAGATTTTAAAAATAGCGAACAATTGACTGAAAAATTATGATTACAACAAAAAAGGCAGAACAACTATTAAAACAGAAATTAATGGGGTCTAAAATACAAAAAAATAGAGATTAATTGAGAGAAAAAAAAAAACAAAGAAAAGATAAACTCGCCAAAAATAAAGAATATAGAAATTTAGACACTCAGATAATGCAATAAAGATTCTTATGTTTTCAAATCTCACCTATCGTCGATAGTGACAGTACGCCACCAGTGGATGTTGCAACTCCTGGTGACTGTGATGGTTCGCAGCTTCCAGCACTAACACTGGTAAGTACAGTTGTACCAGAATAAGCCACTGCCTTCAAAATAGCAAACGCTTCTATTTCATGACATGTGCATATTATGGCTGTTTTTTTACTTCGGTTGCTTTTTTGCTTGATACTCAACCGATTTTTTCTGACGACAATACATTTAACAATTTAACATAGCAAACTATATATATGAAAATACTTTTATAAAGAATATACGTTTGACAAAGCATTTGTAGTTCATGTTAATGTTCTATAAATGTCATACATTTCTCCTGGATATATCTATGGAAAACAAGAAAAGTAAATTGTCACCACTAAATAATTTCTAATAAGCAAGTTCATAGACACCGATGATCTTTATTATATATGTGTTCATAAAACCTTATTATGAAAACGATGGTATCAATATTATGAATTAAACCATAATTAAACATTTAAGAAAGTTAAATGCAAGTTTTATGTTACGGCGGGTAACTGTCTCACTGCCATTGAGGTGCATGTATCTCTTTCAATCATAACCCTTTGTGGTCAAAATATGGTAGCGCACATTGTATCTTTTAAAATATTTTTTTTTCTTTCATTCCCTTTTTATTATGTTTATTTGTTTATGTATTGTGTCAATAAGCTTGGCTCGTTGGCTATATTCATTTGGTACCAGCTGATCAGAATCAGGTGTAAATAATTGTTTTCGGTTTCAGAACTGTGAAAATATCAGGGAGAAAAGTGTCTAAAGGATTATTTTAAAATAGGGTTTAATAGTAATATTGTCCCCTAATTTGCAAATTCACTTTTACATCTTATTCACCACATAATTAATTAAGCTCTCAATATTTACTGTCTTTAAAAAAAAATACAAGAAGAACCCTGCCTAAAGTTCGAATGTCTGTTCAAAGTCAGGAACAGTGACAGTGGCTGTAATATAATAATCTTCATTTTTTCTCAAATTACGACAATTATGTAGTTAAGGATGTTTGCTCCTCTTATATTTGAATTTTTGCCAGATTATCGGAATCCTCTGGTTTTATCCATATATTGCCATTAAAAAATTTTGCCCACTGTCCCCTTCTTTTCTTTTTATATTTTTATTACATACAGTTTAAAAAGCCATATTTGAAAATCTTATCAAATTCTTGTTATTTTTTCATAGTTTTTGAAAGAAAAAAGGTGCCAATATTAAATGTATGAAAAATCTAGAGAGAATCATTTCCCGCCAAATTTTCAATGGCTTATATCTCGAAAACAAGCACACGGACCCTTCATTTTTTTCTGCTTTTTTAGTTCCTTTACTTATATACTATCATTTTAGAACAGTCTTTTAAAAAGCTTGTTATTTTGAAACAGAGTAGCAAACATCCTTAAGATTAGTATATGCCTACTAGTTTTACTTAAACTAAGACAATAACTTCCACACGATAATCTGAGCGTAGACAGTATAGGCTGTGCTTTGAATGCTCATATGGTTGGGATGGTCGCAAACATTGAAGTATTTTGCTTATGTATTTAACTACTAATATTGAAGAGCCTGGGTGGGGCTTTACTTTTATTAATGTTTTGGACCATTTTTTTTATTCTTTATTTTGTTTTGTCCATAATTATCTCTCCTTTATATTTTAGCACCCCAGTATTGAATGTTCTTTTCTTTTTTTTTTCTTTTTTTGCTCTATGTTTTCTATTCTGTGAACATCATCCAGACCCTCACATTTTTATGTCTCCTGATTCGAACGAATGTGTTCGCAAGTCTAGTAGGCGTTTCTGGTGAAGTTTGTTCCCGAAACAACTGTCTTGCATGAATCATTGGATTCGTTGTTTCTTTTTGCAAACACTGCCTGTTAGTAATTGAAAAAAGTGAATTAAAATCACTTACCAAACAGGAAAATCGAAAATAATTAACGCTGTCTACTGTGCCTGGATTATATACACTTATATACGATGTACTTCCACTTGATATAGAGGCGACACAATGCAACATTCCTTCGCCTTATGGTCGAAAAAAGTAAAACGCATTTAAACATTCGTTTGAATTTCTGTAAGAATTTTCTAACCTAGTTTATATATGTTTTGAGACTGGAAAATAAATTACAAAGATGACAAAACAAATCTGTATTTTAGAACACAGAAAGTCTTAAATATTTTCATGTATTCTTAACCTTCAATATATCCTGCGTGCACTGTTTACACTTTTGAATGTTTTTTTGATTTTAGCTTCATCAATCAGTAATTGTCGATTTGTTTTCAATCCGTTGTCTTTGTGGGTTTTAAAGATTGATACATGCTAGCATACATGTATATGAAAAAAAAACTATATTGATATCAATAACCATCAACCTATCGAGCTTATGTTAAATTTGCGTTGCAAAGTCAAAAGCAATTAAAAACTAAACCTGACCAATTTCAGTAGCAAGAGCGACCAAGGGTACAATTGCAAGAGAGACTTAGATCTTAGTTTGTATAGAAATTACTCAAATTTATCAATAGCAATTAATAAAAAACAAGAATGTGTCCATAGTACACGGATGCCCCACTCGCACTATCATTTTATATGTTCAGTGGACCGTGAAATTGGGGTCAAAACTCTAATTTGGCATTAAAATTAGAAGATCATATCATAGGGAACATGTGTACTAAGTTTCAATTTAAGTTGATTTGAATTCAACTTCATCAAAAACTACCATGACCAAAAACTTTAACCTGAAGCGGGACGGATGAACGAACGGACGCACAGACCGAAAAATATAATAACCATCTACTATCGTAGGTGGGGCATAAAAATGATGTTCGTAATAATTATACTACTCTGGTAGCAGTGACAATGGAAGGCTGGTTGCCTTGGAGATTTAGTCTACCAACAGTAGTGTCAACCAGATGATTTAGTTAACCGATGATATATTAATATATAGTTAACAACGTGCTACATTTACTGCGATCGAAGCGCTTCTCTGGATAGCTTCCATCTGCGCATGCAAGGAGTTGTATCCAGATTTATCTCCCTTCCCTTCGTCTCTGCTTCTTCGCTACGTGATTCTCGTACCACAGCTTTGAGACGTCAGCAGACATTAACAGAGACGTCACAATGTGTGAGGAGGCGTTATCAAGCTTACATTCGTCAAGCGTAAAACTGTTTAAATGATGGGCAATGTAATAGAACGATGAAAAGCAGTGGCGAATCCAGAAATTTTCATAAATGGGGGCCTAGTGACGACCTAAGAGGGGGCCCGCTCTAGTCATGCTTCAGCTGTGATTCCCTATATATAATCAGCCAAATTGTTTTCCACAAAGGGCCCCCTCCCCCCAAATCGGTCTCTGAAAAGATTATCGGGGTTTATACGTATGGATATCGTTCAATATCATCCGCTCGACACAATTTTAAGCGCTCACTCGCCAAAAAAGTTCACATTGTGGCTCGCGGCGTATGATTTACGATATCAATGGGTAGAAACCCGATAACCTATACCGCACTATTCCTCCCCTTAGAAGATAATATTACTTACTTGAAAACAGCTGTAGTGAGCTGCATAATGTGTAATTAAATGTTGCTGTAGTTGTGTCGGAACAAATATCTACATTTGAGGCAGCACTACAAAACACAGATCCTCCATGTGTGTATGTATATGAGTGTGTTCCTTGTAATATAGGAGGAAAATCAATCAAAGCTGAGGATTCATACCCTGTAGAAAGAACGACACCTCAGTTTCTACATAGTCTTTCGCTATTTATAAAACCAATTTCAAATCGAGGTAGGAAGACGCCCGATAAAAATATTTTTTGAACAATTGTTTCTCTTATATTAATTTAATGACTGATTAAAAAAGGCATTCTGGTTCTGAATGCAACGAAAGATTGATACAAATATAGACTTTCGAGGCGATATCTAAGAACTTAAAAAAAAAACCCATTAATTTTATATTTATGATTGATTGTTATTGAGTATCTTTTTTCACAGTTGACGACATATGTGTTCCAATTGTAGTTACCATAATCCCGTTCTCTTATCTTGAATGTGACTTACCGAATTAGACTTAACACCAGGTTTGAACTTACATGAACAACACGACTTGTGTCACATTTGGAGCAGGATCTGAGGGCTAGATAAGAGACGATAACCAATCCGCTATTGTGCGATGCTTTATCACTTGATAAAGTTTATTAACGTATTCTATAGGAATAACACGTCGGGTGTCACATATTGAGCAGGATCTGCTAACCCTTCCTGAGCCCCTAAGATCACCCCAGCTTTTGGTGGGTTTCGTGTTGCTCAATCTTTGTTTTGTTCTTTGTTGTGTTTTGTATACTGTTGTTTGTCTTTTTATCTTTTAATCCTTTTTCGTTTTTTTTTTCATATCATTGTCAGTTTGTTTTCGACTTGTGAGTTTGATTATCTCTTTGTTATCGTTGGTCTCTCTTTTAAGCGCACAATAAAAAATTCATGTTTATAAGTAAATTGATATTAAACCTTGTCTGACAGCCATATGGAATTCCTCGTCTCCAGGTGGACTGGAGGGTGAACAGTACGTCGAGGTCGACCAAGATGTAATTGCCGAGCTGTATGTTTCAAGGTAGGCGCGTTCATTAACACCATTTGACTGATAATCTAAAAAATATATAAAAAATGAGTTGATGTTAATAAAAAAATTTGACTTATGAATAAAGTATGTTGAGGAAACATGTGTAAATATCTTGAATCTATTTTGAGCGATGAATCAAAATGTTTTCTTTGATATTGCTATAAGGTTTTGTCCTTCTAACGTGTAATTCAATCTTTATTGATGTTCGCTTCTCCGTTTCAAAATAATAAGCTTTTTTAAAATACTGTTATAAATTGATAGTATATAAATAAAGGAACTAAAAAAGCAGAAAAAGAAAAGAGAAAAGATTTTCAAATATGGCTTTTAAAACTATATGTAATAAGATTGTGAAAAGAAACGTAGGGGTTAGCAGGCAATTTTATTTATTGGCACTACATAATAAACCCAGCGGATTCCGAATATCTGGCAAAAACTCAAAATCAAGTGAAGCGAACATCCTTAACACAAACTGAAGCCGTTTCAAAATTGACACTATTATAAATTGGTGTATGGCTTTGGTGTACATTTTGTACTTCTGCCGGTCGAAAAATTGCATTACATAAAACTTTAACGTATCCAGATGTATGTCGATTTATGAATATGCTTCCTACCATTTCACATAATTGGCATTTTAAAAACGTGTAGTAATTATAATTTTACGTGCTTTCGTGCGTGCAGCTTGTTGTTTACCGTTTTTCTTGCATATTGGTGGGAAAGCCACATGTACACTTTTTTTTATTTATTTTTTGTTCATCGTGAAATGGCCATTATATTTTCCATTCGTCCATTCAACAAAAATCTACCATCAAGGGACGTAAACAAAGATTATGTCTTGTAATCTGGCATTTGTCTACAATCGGCCGTTTCCGTTTCTCTATATAACATCGAAGGGGAGTAGCGGATTAATCCGAGGATTGCCGATTATCTGGTTACATGATAGTATACTTTATCGATGTTGAATAGTACGAGTGTGCGTATTTTATAGTCGCTCAAAGAAACTAGGACCTTTTTTCTTTTTTTTTATTACCTGCTAAAACATAGTAGTAGAAAGAATTATCCGTCTCATTTGTCCAGTGAATACACAAATACGGTATTATGGTGGACGAAAAAAAGCTCAATGACGAATCTCCGCTAAAATAGAAAGAAAATACCAGTGTTAAATTTCACAAGTACATAAAAACATTTTTATTTATGAATCGATCTATCTATCGCTGACAAGGTTGAACATCAGTACCGATTAACTATCTTTACAGGAGTTAAGTCCCTTGGAAATGTGAATAATATGAAGACTTCATTGTAATCGTCCGTATGCATATCAAACGTTTTGTAACAGTATTCAATGTCCATAACATACGATTTGTTTTCTCTTTGTATCTGCTCTATATTGGTGTGTTTGTGTATTAGGTTGACTATTCAAGATCATAAGCATACTTTCAGAGCATACCTGTTTAATTTTTTTTGTTAACTTATTTGTGTGCATGTGTAAAATGACAAAAAAATGCAATTTGTCCGTAGAATCCGTAGCAGTACATAGAGAGCTTGCTTCGGATTAGAAAACGCATGATACCTGTATACATTTTAAAAAGGCAATGGATTGCAATAGCGACTGAAAATGTCATACACACAGCATACAGTTTACGTTTAGTTGTACAGACATATTTTATACAAATATTTTACAGACAGATAGAAGTTCAAAGAAATTAATAAAAATGATGTAGTATGTTTAAAGATGTCAAAAATAAAAATACCACGGTTTAAATATAATAATTATGATTGAAATCAGAAGTGTTGACATAGATTCAGATTCTGAATAAAGATGGTAATACAGTTTTCCTACCGAAACACAAAGTAATTGTTAGAAGTGTCTTCAGCTACGCATGTCCAAGTTGTGACTGAGGATGCGCCAAGTGTAACAACCCAACCGGAAGTCACCTGTAATGTTGCCTTGGAGATTGTAAGTGTGCCTTCCGTACTATCATACCAAGTTCCGTCCCACGTTACAGGAAATGTGCAACAGAAAATGTCTGAAAATATCGAAAAATTAGCTATTGTGATTTGATGTTTACTATTTCTATAAAATATTTTTCGTCATGTTTGTGAATACCATTGATAGTTCTTAATTTTATTACATATCATTATACTAAGAAAGTACCCTTGATATTTGATTTCGTTCTAATGGTAAAATTGAACAAGTTTATACCTACTAAAATTGATTGTTCGATCGAGCTACACGTGCAAAAATCTTCAGACTATAGTCAGAGAGACATTAAAAACTTGATCAATACCACAATTATAAGTAGTTGCGTAAAGTTTAACCTCATAATATAATCAATAGAAACAATTAAGCTTCGTTTTTTGTTTAAACCCTCTATATATTTAAAGTATGTTATTCAATTATCTCTTGAGAGAATTACCAGTAAATCTATTAAATAGATTTAAGGTTTTGCAAAATTAGAATTATCTTCCGACACGAGTTGATTTACAATATTTTACATAAGTACAAATGTATCTGATTCAGAATATATTCGAAGTTTGGTTTGAATGCAATAAAATTGTCTTAAACAATGTAGATTCTGAAAAAGCCATACGCAACCAAATTTTGTTCACGCAAATTTATCATGACGTGAGTTTCACTTTCATTTACATGAATTTAACTTCACGTGAATCTAATGTGATACAATATTAATGGTGTCCACGAGGAAAAAACATCCTAACATTAAACTATTGTTAAAAACTATTATTTAGTAATGCATTTACCATATCTTCTTTTGAAATGTTAACATTCATGTAATCGAAAATTTTCTTTTTTTATGTGAAATTCACGTAAACAATTTTACGAAAATAACGTAAACAAAATTTGCCTGACGTGTATATTTATCAGGTCAAATTTTTCAAGGAAATATTCAGTAATTTATCAAATCTGTTGCAGACTTTACATTTAACTGTTAAACTCAGAAATATAAAACATAATTAAGAACCATTTTTAAAGGTATTTCGGGAACTGTTATACAGCAGATATTCATTTTATGCCATTTTGTCTTACTGACAACTCACCAAATATCCTCATGTTTAAATATTTCCACTCGTGGAAATAGAGTTTCACAAAAAGTGTTTCCGTTTGCTGCTTGTGACTAGTTATTAGTTATTAGCAGTACAAAGATTCCATGTGCAGTAAAATATATCTTTACCATCTAAAGGATCTGGTATCCTTACTGGTTTCCTTTTCTAACGTTTTGATTGCATTACACGAAACTTTCAGTGTTTTGCATGGTTGATGTAGATATTAAACCGCGATCCCCGCAAAGTTGATACTTTTGGAAACCTCTGTATTCAAATCTAACATATAAATGTCACGTCTAAAAATTTTCGTAAACATTTTTAATGCACCAATTTCTTTTGGAACTGCATGATAAAAGATATTGAAAAACATGGTTTTTTGCTCTTGAGCCTTTTTTTAATTTAAGTTTAGGTCATTGTTTTTTTTTCTTTCTTTAATCATGTACCGAACATTTAAAGTGTGTTTTCGTTGTGTTTTCCACTTCAAATTTTTCTTTCAGTAAAAATGATTTAATGTGCTAGGCGTGCGTTTCGTCTTAAGAGACTCACCTATGTTCTCTGTTCTCTGACAAAAAAAGTATAGAATTTAATGTATGTGGATATTTTTAATGTGGAAGACTGCGCAAAAGCATATCACGTCATTCGCCAAAAGCTTAGGGAAACAAGCTCAAGCCAAATGTGTAATGAACTATCATTTTCTTAGTTGGGGATATACCTAAACACACTATGAATGTATTCCCACAGTAGAAAGTTTTAGCCGCCAATGTCAGTAATGAACCACCCTTTGTAGTGGGTGGTACAAACAAGGAGATTTATTCAGGAGAAGAAACTTACCTCTTCCAATGTTAATCAAAATCAATATCAATAATGTTATCCGATACTGGTTGATCTTCATAGCAGCATCGCATATAAATAAATATCCAAATAATAAAAGTGTCACATTTTGTTCCTATAATAACCATGCTCTGTAGGTGTACCTGCATTTAATGAGCTTTTGTCTATTTGAATCTAAGGTCATATTTAAAATCGCCTTAAAGTTCACCGATCAAATTTTTTAATACTTTTATAATGAAGACTATAATGTAATGCGACTTAAAATTTACTACAGCGCGTACGATTTTCAATTAATCTTTGTTTGGTTAAATGATAAGGGTACATGTATATCTTGATAAAACCGGTAAATCAAAATGCTTTTACCGACGGACTGTAACCGTTACGGTGAGTCGTAGGATTTGTAATCTATAAACGTGAAAGAAATTAGGGGGTGGGGAATGTAACAAGCTACTGTTCATTCAAAGCGCGAATTTAAGAGAGGTAACGTTAAAGCGGTTTGTGCTCGTTCCGGCCGACAAAGCAGCCACAACTGTGGTGGTGGTATAACTTAAATATTTCACGGAAGTTCTGAAGAATGAAATTATAAATTCAGGTAAAACCATGTATTTGATAGCTAGATTACATTTTCCTATTTGAGGGAAAAATTTGGTTGATTATTTAGGGATTCACTGATGTATGACTGGAGCGGGCCCCCTCTTAGGCAGTCAAACCCTCCCCCTTTCCCCCGGCCCCGTTATGAAAATTTCTGGATCCGCCACTACTAATTGTCCTTTCCATGATTTGGATAGTCCAATTTCAAACGGGAAAGTCTATATATATATATATATATATATATATATATATATATATATATATATATATATATATATATATATATATATATATAAATAAGACAATACGACAAAAGGGACGATTATTTTTCTCTTTTGTTATTGTTCTTTTTTACAGTACAAACCAGCTCGTTCACCATGCTCGTATCTGAAGTAAGGTTATAGATTTATAAACGTTAAATATATATCACTCAGTCTAGTAAATTATTTTAAAGTTGGGGATGTCGTTACCGCAAATAACGTATAACTTCTACTATACTTTCAAAAATACAAATATCTAGTTTGGAATAAAAAACTTAGGAATGGGATGTCGGGGTGAGCGCCCGCAACATTTTGTATGTGCTGTCCCAAGTAAAGAGCCTGTAATTCGTTTGTTGTCGTTGGTTTTTGTCTATCATACTTGTTTTTCGTTTATTGTAATAATCATAACATATCTCCTTACTTTAACATATGACACTCGATAACTATTGGCGAGGTTCCTTGGACAGGGACATATTAAAAAATTTGTTAAGGCTAAAGTTGTCGTTATTTGACATAAGATTTGAAATTCGTTATTTTGACATACATTGTAAGACTTTTTGTTGTTTTGATATACATTGTTGGTGTTGGTTGTCGTTATCTAGACAATTATTCATTTGGAAGTTGTCGTTATTTCGACATAGGATGTCCTTTTTTTGAAATACATTGTACAGTGGCGGATCCAGGGGGAGGGGTCCGGGGGTTAGACCCCCTTTTTGTTTGACATTTAATGCTTTTGTATGAAGACATATGGTTGGAACCTCCCCCCTTTATATGACTTGCATGTGTTGAAACACCACTTTTAAAAATTGCAAGTTGTAAGACGTAGGATGTCGTCATTTCGACATATATTATAAGTTACTGTTATTACGACATAGAATGTTGTAATTTCGAAATGCGATGTCAGCGAAAAGCAATTAAAAGACAAACAACAGCGCTAGCGTATAAAATAAAACATACAAAACTAAAGGCTGTGTCATACAAAATCTACCAAAAAACCGTGGGTGATTTCATGTGCTTTCTGCTTGTACATGTATGTCAAATTTACGACATTTTTTTCATTTTGGCACTGATTACCAACTTCCGTTTTTATGTCAATTCCGAGTTTTTAAAAAAAATCTCATTTTTGTTTACATTCCGTAATGATCAGTTTACTTAATGACAAAAAATTCTGAACTGTTGAGTAAATTACTTATAACATGATTTTTGTCATTAAAAATACGCTTAATTTAAACTCTTAAAATACGTAATGCACACGCTTACGTCACTTTGTCTAATTTAAAAGCAATTGTATTTGTAAATACTATTTATAATATCTTTACAAAGGGAATCCTTTGTACCTTTAAATATTGGATTCTATAGGCGTTTATTCATTTATTGATCTAGATTTTAACTTAATTGTTAATTATTCTTCACAGACGACCTATTTATTGTAAAAAGATACCGTCGCGATGCAAACATTGATTTCCACACTTAAAAAAAACATTGCAATGATATCGCAATAAACGAATTTCATTTTGAATGGACTTTGCAAGGCAAATATAGATAATACACAACAATTAATAAAGTGAGTATCCTTTTTTACTTTGAATATCATTTTCGTTAATTAAAACTGGCTTTTGTGTACGTGTGTGTGTGTGTGCATGTGTATTATTTGCATAAGAGTAAATTTTGTTTGATGCTTAACAGAGGAGATAATGACGTGGCTTACGTACAGAATGTTATTTTTTCCGTCAAACTGTGACATATTGGGAAAAGATGCATTTTCGACTCATTTTAATCATTAGCTTGAAAACGAGTGCATTGACTTTAATTTTTATTAAATGGCATTTGGCTAAATTATGTATGAAGACTTTTTTTCTTCTTTTTTTTGTTTGTCTGTTTGTTTTTTTTCTTTTTTTTGCCATTGCGTTGTCAATTTATGTTCAACTTATGAGTTTGAATGTCCCTTTGGTATCGTTCGCCTCTCTTATTTTCTACCCCAGGAATAGATTATCTAACCTGTATTTGACAAAACCTTTCGAAATTTTTGGGCAATCTTCAAATTCGTACTTTTTTAGCCTCTTAGTTATATATATAGCACGCCTTTTACGAATTGGCGGATTTAATTCACGAAAAGCGCAGCTTTGAGTGGATTAAATATGTTAATGAGTAAGGCGTGGCTATATATAATTTGTAACATTAATGGGCTATGACACATGCCAAAGGTTAAATGCTGACCAATAAAACTTAACTGTACTTTTCAATACGTCAATCAAATAGTGGCGTGGTACTATATTTGTTTGATGTTCAGAAAATGAACACAAGCAGCAGATGACAATTGGATTTGTATTTCAGATACAGGTACATTTAAATGGATTCAGCCATTTATGTGTTATTGAATAGTTTTTTTTTCATCCCCGAAAATACTTGAAAGGGGGTGGGGTGGGGAAGATGCAATTCTTTTTTTTTTCGATGTTTATCTGCCTTCAAACCTGAAAAGGACTTGTAGTTTTAAAGGGTTTTACTCTTGTGATAAGAAGGAAATATTTTCTAATAACAATATATGAAAGTCATTAATACTATTTTTCCATTCCCAACAACTGTAAACAGATCGATTAATTGAATGGTTGTTGATTGCGAGTAAGGTCTAGGAACAAATATTTGAATCATGATCAATTCACGGAGATAGACCTTTATAAAATGGAGAAAATTACTAAACATCCAGTGACATATATTTTTTCAAGAATATTATTAATTTCGACATGATAAAAAAGGAATCCAACCAAAATAACTGTAGGAAAATGTATAGTCACTTCTATTACATTTTGTTTCATTTTTTTCATTATTTACTTCTCGAAGGAGGCGGAGCCAGACTATGCGTTAACAACTTCTGTGATGGAAGTTAGAGCACTTGATTAAGCTCCTCCCATTCTTTGCTATTCCAACGAGATGCGGTCAACGGCGGGATTGCTGAGTGCAATAACTAAAAAATCATTCAGTTAACGCACTCCTCTAAAAATAACCGTATTTAACTCACTTGAAGATCAAAGGAAAAATTACCATTCATGTTACAAAAAGTTTTAGATTCGCACGTCACTGATGAGTCTTGTAAAGACGAAACACGCGTCTAGTGTACAACAATTAATCATTCAATTTGGATCTTATTCTATGATGAGTTTATTGCATCAGTCTGATGAATTTTTATTTTGTTGCGAAATACATACATGTTAGTCTTTTTTTTTTTAATTTTAGTTCATTTACATGTTTTGGAGTTTAGTATGACGTCCATTATCACTGAACTAGTACACATTTTTGTTTAGAGGCCAGCTGAAGCACGCCTCCGGGTGCGGGCTTTTCTCGATGTGTTGAAGACCTTTTGATGGGCTTCGGCTGTTTTCTTCTCTTTGGTCGGGTTGTTGTCTCTTTGACACATTCCCCATTTTCATTCTCAATTTTATTTACAGTTAAAATCCTTCAAGTTGTAAATAATGTTGACTAGTTGTTCAACGTTCCTTTTTCCTTTTTTTTATTTCACTCTTTTCTTTTCAGTCTTGGTGTTGAAAACTGTGACCTCTAGATCGTAGACTTATGGAAGTAACATATGGAAAACAACGCTTTCTTGAAATACTAATTGTACTTTTGAGTACCTGTCTCGTACATGGTAATGTATACTTTTTATGATAGATAAGCTCGACTGGAAAGCATATTTCTTGAAAAAAAAATAAGCTTACCTGTGAACGATACAAAGCGTGTTTCAAAATTAATAGGTTAAACGGACAGTTTAAACTTGATGAAAATGAATTGGAATCATCATAATTGGGATGACCATTTTACTTTCGGGGGGGAGGGGGAACAGAGATTTTGAATATGATTAACCTGGCCTGATAACTTAAAATAGATAAATTTACACTAGCAGGATGTAAATGAATATTCTGCAACACAAAATGCAGAAAACAAATGTGTAAAAAAGTGAGAGAGAAAAAAATCAGCATGCGTACGACGCAATGAAAATAAATGAGCAATCGGGAAAAAATCCTCCCGTCCATCCCCCACCCCCAGAATACCAAATGGTCGTCCTAAAAATGTTGGCGGAATTTACATTTGATAATCGTAAGAAGATTACTTTTGCTCAAGTTTATATTGTTTTATTATTATAATATGATATTGGAACAATATAAACTGTCCAAAAACTCCACGACCACCTCGACGTTACATCTTGATATATAAATAAGGAGAAATAATATAAAAAAAATATTGATTTGTAGCCTATAAGCAGATATATATTGTACGTAATTAACCAGCAATTTTCTAAAATCAAAGTTTTAAACCAAACAAAATGATATATTCACCTTAATTTTGTTGAGGATATTTACTAGTCTCGTTACACTAGAGTTATCGTTCTTACTGCGAACCATATGGTTTATGGAGCGCCTGGATATCGTGACTAGATATTTAATAGGATTAAAAATCATCAAATGAAATATTTTATCTACCACAATATAATTGTCATTCTTTTAAATACCAGTGATTGGATGCTTATGATGGAAAACCAGTAATCTCAAACAATTTTTAAATTTTGTTTGCGTGTGTTATAGAAAAGGGTTAGACAATTCAGGGGCAGGGGGCATTTCTTGAAAGCGAAACCCGCTAGCAAAAAAAGGGTGACAACATCATGATTAAATAAAAATAAAACTCACAGACAAAAAAAAAACAAAAAAAAAAAACAAAAATCATGGAAAGCTGTCGATTGGGCAGCATGAACCACATTTAACAAGAACTCAGGTGCACCATTAGGAAAAACGAGAACTCAGGTGTATAATTAAGATAAACGAGAACTCATGACCAGGTGCACCATTCGGTTAAACGAGAACTCAGGTGCACCATTAGAATAAACGAGAACTCAGGTGCATCATTAGGATAAACCAGAACTCAGGTGCACCATTAGGATTAGCGAGAACTCATGTGCATTATTAGGATAAACGAGAACTCATGTGCATCACTGATGATGATCATTAGGATAAACCAGAACTTCGGTGCATCATTAGGATAAACCAGAACTCAGGTGCATCATTAGGATAAACCAGAACTCATGTGTATTATAAGGATAAACCAGAACTCAGGTGCACCATTAGGATAAACGAGAACTCATGTGCATTATAAGGATAACCCAGAACTCATGTGGATCATAAGGATAAACGAGAACTCATGATCAGGTGCACCATTAGGATTAGCGAGAACTCAGATGCACCATTAGGATCAACCAGAACTAAGGTGCATCATTAGGATAAACGAGATCTCATGTGCACCATTAGGATAAACCAGAACTCAGGTGCACCATTAGGATAAACGAGAACTCATGTGCACCATTAGGATAAACGAGAACTCAGGTGCATCATTAGGATAAACCAGAACTCAGGTGCATCATTAGGATAAACCAGAACTCAGGTGCATTATAAGGATAACCCCGAACTCCAGTGCATCTTTGGATAACCCAGAACTCCGGTGCATCATTAGGATAAACCAGAACTCAGGTGCATCATTAGGATAAACGAGAACTCAGGTGCATTATAAGGATAACCCAGAACTCCGGTGCATCATTAGGATAACCCAGAACTCCGGTGCATCATTAGGATAAACCAGAACTCCGGTGCATCATTAGGATAAACCAGAACTCCGGTGCATCATTAGGATAAACCAGAACTCAGGTGCATCATTAGGATAACCCAGAACTCCGGTGCATCATTAGGATAACCCAGAACTCCGGTGCATCATTAGGATAAACCAGAACTCATGTGCATCATTAGGATAAAGCAGAACTCAGGTGCATTATAAGGATAACCCAGAACTCAGGTGCATTACAAGGATAACCCAGAACTCCGGTGTGACATTCGAGTAAACGAAAACGCAGATGCACAATTATGATAAGCAGTGCCTGCTCCAGTAGTGGCAACAATTTTATTTTCTCATTTTAACTTAAAATCAGGTGAAAATCTCCTTCAGTGATGCCATAAAAGATGAAAATTGGATGCAATTGGGATTGTAAACACGCATTGCAAAAAATTCAGATAAAGTGCAATTATGAAGATTTTTGGATTGTAATAACTATACTCTACTTTTGACCAATAAACTTTTAACAAACATATTGTGACTAAAATAACACTGTTGAAATACCAAAGGATGTTTAGTTTTATCTCTGTGCCATATCAGCTATTTAAATTTTAAGCTTTTAATTGATTATGAATAAAAAAAAAATAATAAGGCATTTGAAAAAAAAATTACTGAAATTTTGCATCGCTACACTAACTGGTGATTGTGCATTTGCAGTATTACCTCTTACTTTAACTTTTACAAAATCGACACTACTGACGGTTATCCGTCAAGTTATGCAAAGTTAGGTGTGTTTTTTTTAATTATGTCTCTTTATAATCTTGATTTTTAAGATTTGATTTATATAACGGTCATTGAATGATAAGAATTTAATTTTTGCAGTTGCTGGAGATTGTGCAGGTTTAGTGTCGACTCTTATTGCGGATTTTAACAGTTATAAGACCGTCACTACTGACGATTATCCATCGCCTTATGCAAAGTAAGTTCTACCATAAAATAAATCTTGGCCAGTTACCACCTGTTTTGATTGATATCACCACACGAGTTCCCACAACATACTTGTATAAAAGAACCCTTAATTACAAAAGAAATTCTACAAGTGAGGAATGTCGAATCGTTAAATGTCAGAGTTGGTACTAATATTTTCAAGAAAATTGTATTATATTGACCTTATTTTCTGCCAACCTTTTTGATCTTTTTAATGAGAATTATGATTTTAGTTTCAAAAATTAACGTGAAGAGGTTAATTCTCCCCAGATGTCAAAGGTCATTGCAAATTGACAAAATAAAATTGAGAATGGAAACGGGGAATGTGTCAAAGAGACAACCCAACCAAAGGGCAAAAACAGCCCAAGGCCACAATAGGTCTTCAGCATATCGAGAAAAGCCCGCACCCGGATGCGGGCTTCAGCTATCCCCCTTTAACAATTATGTGTACTAGTTCAGCGAAAATGGACGTCATACTAAACTCCAAAACATAAATGAACAAAAATTTTAAAAAAATATACAAGACTAACAAAGGCCAGAGGCTCCTTTCTGGGGACAGGCGCAAAAAAGCGGCGGGGTTAAACATGTTTTGTGAGATCTCAACCCTCCCCCTATACATCTAGCCAATGCAGATTAAGCAAACACACAGCAATACGCACAGTAAAACGCAGTTTAAAAGAAGTCCGAGTCCGATGTCAGAATAGGTAACAGAAAAAAACTAAGTAAAATGGCAATGATAAATATATTAACAAAGGACTACTAGCAGTTACTGACATGCCAGCTCCAGACCTCAATTAAAATGATTGAAAGATTATGTCTTCATCATATGAAAATCAAGGACTATCTCCCCGTTAGGAGTTTATTATCATACCATCATAACATACATGTATACGAGAACATTAACCCGTATCATGCAAAACAACTGGTTTTATTAAAAATGTGTTTATTTCGGATGCAAATACCCTATGAGTGAATACATATTAATTCCAAAAAATGCCATCTTTAATGACCTGACAACAGTATCGTAACTATATCCCCCCTGAATAAGTTTGTTGAAAGGTTAGGTTAGCTTTTGAGGTGAATGACGACATGTTTGTACTTTTTATAAACTATTACCATAAAATATTTGATGTGAAATACCCGAACGTATAAGATGTCTGCATGTTGATTTATATTTACGAATTATGTCCATGTACCGATGATAACATTTATAAAAAGTTTTGATAAGTTTATGATATCGAAAACCCTGGTGTAATAATTTTCCAGTAATACAGAGATCTTTTCTAATACAGAGAAAATCGTTTTAAAAATCCAACATTTTTGACAAATATTAATGAATAGCAGCACAACCTCTTACCACGTGCACACAATGTCATAGTTTTGCGAGTGTTCACCACGTTGAAGAGACCTGCATTATTATCATATTTTCAGGAGTAGAGATCAATAATAACGTCTTTCGTCAAATGTGTGAATATGGTTTTGTGTCATGAATGACTACAATAGTTATCAAAGGTACCAGGATTATAATTTCATACGCCAGACGCGCGTTTCGTCTACATAAGACTCATCAGTGACGCTCAGATCAAAATAGTTATAACATATCTCTCTTTTTCATAATAATGTGAGTCAATTTTTTAAATTGAATTTAGCACGTGTAGGGCAAAGGTTCAAAACTGAAACGTTCCATATGCAAGATAACATTTAAGAAAAAATTGAGATGAATCGCGTTTTCATGAAGTGAGTCGTCTGAATAAAGGCTTCTCTATACGGCAGTTCCGGAATACGGTAGTTCGTTGAACCTGAAATGTGACTTCCATCAACACGTGACCAAAATGTAGGCATCGTCACTTCCAACACATGTTGAGCGAACGGGTGAAAAAAGTTTGATCTTAATTACACTGAACACAATATTTGCCATTAAAATCTGATAATTTTGTCACCCTCCCTTCAGACATGCGGGAATTAATATAACGTACTTACGGAACATAAGTTATTTCTAGACTACCCTACAGAATGACGATTCTGAAAGTGCTTGCAACTTTAATAGAGCAGAGATAGAGGCGAACCTTCTATCTGGTAAATGACGTCACAGAAGCGTGCGAACTTGACGATCTTTTCCGGTCAAATACATGATTCGAGAAATAGCCTATTTACCTTGTGTAAGCCTATCGCCTAATCCATTCGGGAGCACCCCGAATTGACACTAACGGGTGTTCTGATGTGCCTGTGTTGCTATGATGTTGTCTGTATTTTTTCGTCCTGCATTTCCTATTCAAACTACATTACATGTATTAAAAAAATTGTTTTAAATTTCAGTCTTTTATACCACTGCAAATCTTTTTATTTCAGTTCTCTCACGTGTGAATGGAAAATCGACTCGGATTCAGCAGCGGACAAAGTTGCAATAACTTACCTCGCCTTTAATTTAGAAACAAACTTTGATAAATTGAAAATCTATGATGGTATGTTATATGTCTTCTTGTTCACCTGGTTTCAAGATATCAATGAAAACTAGTATTTGACTAAATTGAATGACATCTAGTTACATATATAGCCCATAAAAGAACTATGGAAACGTACTAATTTTGTGACACTCTAAATATAAGGCTCCACGCAATGCAGTAAATATAAAATTGTTTGAATTGACTTTTAATGACCTTTTATATAATGTAGGAACCTGTATGTATTTCCATTAGAAGGGGCGATGTGAAAAACATGATAATACATAGAATATATTCCTCAGAGTTATAATAATTATTTAAGAGTTATTCTTTAAATTCAATTGAAGATGAAATTCATTTTCTGAGCATTCGAACAACAACGACAAGTTATGTTAAATTTTACTTTACAAACATGTAATTATTTCAAAAATCTTAAAGACAAAAAACAGTTTATTTCAAAAAAGCTTGATTGCGTGAATATTGAAGATTATTTGTAACCATTTAATTTATATGTACTATAGCCTTTATGGGCCGCTATGTTTGGTTTAATAAAGAACATTTTAGGTGATAGTGCGTCGTCAAGATTGAGTTATATAGATACCGGAAGTCTCGATGATAGATTTTACATATCGAGTGGACGATACCTATTTTTGAGGTTTACGACCGATTCTTCTGTCAAGTGGTCTGGATTTAAAATACAGTATATCACCATTTTAGGTAAGAAAATGTGTGGTTATTTCTTTCCGACTTTTTTTTTTAGAATATTCGAATTTTTTTTATTGGCTGCCATTTTAGCTTGATTCGAACTTCCATTCTTTGTCATCTTTATAACACCTATACAAAAAAAAAGATTAAACTATAATGCAATTAAATTAAATTCAGTCGAATAGACAGCCAATTAAAACATTTTATTCATTTCTACGTTCAAGTTGGTCTTAAAGCAATACCAGTCCTGATTAATGATCCATGTTTTAATGACGTCATATAGTTTGTTCATTCACTGCATGAGGGTCTGGACAGGAGGTCCTTCATTTCTGTAGTTTTTAGATTTTTCGTTCATTATTTTTTACCTTTAAAAATAATGGCGATTCTGTAATTACTTGATAACTATTTTCTGGACATTGTTCTTTTCTGTAATCAGTATATGTTTACCCAATTCTTGCAGAGTTTCTTTATACTTTAGCACCCCATTATTTTCTATTCTTTATTTCTTTTGCCCAGTATTTTCTATTCTGTAAACCCCATCAACACCCTCCTTTATTTGTTTATGTAACTAAAGTATGTTATTTTTCTTTTTCAGGCAGCATGATAAAACCTAACTGCGTTGATACCATAACCTTGGACGAATCTTCTGCAAACATTGAAAGACAATATGCATTACATACCTTCAGTTCGCCTTTCACAAGTTCATTGTAAGTGTTTACTTTCATTGTTAACTTTGTTTGCGCGTTCGTTTGATGTGTTTGCACTTTGGATTTTACCGCTTGATAAGGAACTTTCCTTTTTGAATTTTCCTTGGAGTCAGCATTTTTGTTATTGCACTTTTGTTTGATTTTTTTTAAAATTATTTTAAGCTTTCATTTGTACATGTATTTACTTTATTTTTTATGTATGCTTGTATTTTCTTTTTTTTTCTTTTTGTTTTGTTTTTGTTAGTTGGTCAATTTTCGTGTGTGTGTGTTTTTTTTTCGGCTCCTTTTAAAAGGGCAGATTGGATGGTTTGCTTTTTCAATTTTCATTTGAATGAAATGAGCTGATATTTGAACTGTATATAACAGCGGTATATATAAGTCTTTGTTAAATAAAAGTTCAAAGTTGACGGTTTTATTTCAGTTATGTACTCCAAAAAGCAATTAAACATGTTAAAAGAAAGCTTGCAATAAATTATAAACAAATACTTTGCATTGGGTAAACAACTGTGATATATTAACCTTTTAGTTTCGTCATATTTATGATTTAATACATTCAGTGTAACTATACGAAATTTAAACAAGTGACCATCTCATTTTCATGACACGCGGAAGGATTTGAAAAAAAACATAGCTGAGAGAGTGATAGAGCAGATTGTTACCACGATAGAACATTGTGAACCTAGGCGAAACCAAGGTTTACAATGTTTTTTACAAGGGGTAATACTCTGCTCTATCACCCTCTCAGCTACATGTATGTGTTATTTACTTTATTATACTGAATGTTCTGACATTATCAGATTTGTACATAACATTTTTCATTTCAGATGTGTTGTCAGCCCTAGGGCTGATATAAACCGAGGGTTGATTATACATCTGATATGAAAAATTACATGTTATGATCTTTTTATCATATGCTTCAACAATGGAGGAAAATAACAGTTTAAATAAATTGATCCTTTTAAGTGGTTCGCAAGTAGAAGTTCAAAAAGTGAAATGTTTACGGACGTCGGACGCCAAATGTAATACATCCGACATCTTTCTATCTTACGCTTCAACAGAGGAAAAAAAACCAAATGTATAATATATATTATATTGACGATAAAAATAAATTTAACAAAACATAATGAACACTGTTTGGAAAAATCAACATTTGTAAAGTAACTTTCCAAGTTAGTCTATGCTGGAAACTATGAAAAATGCATTTATTATATCATTTGTCTTTTGCATTTTACATTATGTACCCTACTTTGTTTTGTTTTTCACTGAAAACCTACCATTGAGGTGTATTTTCCGGAATTTGCCGAGTAAGGCCGGAATGTCATGCGACAACGTTACGGAAAAGCATGTGACAATAGCCGGAAGTTATGATAATTATTTTCTTATCATAAACTTGTATAAAATATTACTTAATTTCTACAGTTCAATAATTCTTATATGATTTGCATATTAGGGAATACGTTAATATGATTGGTCGAGAGGGCTTTCGGTATTGGCTCTTGACGTTATTTATTTTTCGATAGACGACGTTGACCGAACTGAAAACCTACCATTGAGGTGTATTTTCCGGAATTTGCCGAGTAACGCTGGAATGTCATGCGACAACGTTACGGAAAAGCATGTGACAATAGCCGGAAGTTATGATAATTTTTATTATCATAAACTTGTATAAAATATTACTTAAATTTTAAATTCTACAGTTCAATAATTCTTATATGATTTGCATATTAGGGAATACGTTAATATGATTGGTCGAGAGGGCTTACGGTATTGGCTCTTGACGTTATTTATTTTTCGATAGACGACGTTGACCGAACTACTTTTTGTAACCAATGTAAACAAGATGGCGGCGACGTTAAAATATGTATTTTTTCTTCGCGTTCATCGTTTAATTTAATAATAAACACCAATATTCATTTGAATGAATATAAGATATTTTTGTAGTTAGTTTTTCATCAGATAGCAAATTTCATGGAGTGCATTTTTTTTTTTGCGTTAACTAAAAAATAAACTCATGCGCCAGGCCAATTCAATGACACACATATACAATTTTCGTGTGATAGAGGTTACGAGTGTGGAAATTAAATTTCTTATCTACAATTTTAAAGAATTATAAGGATTAAACGCCATTTTAAAGGAATTTATTGGTGTATAAACTGGAACAAGTCACTCACAAACATATCATAAAAGTCCATCGGACTTTTGTTTGTTTGTGAGTGACTTGGTCGAGTTTATACACCAATAAGTTCCTTTAAAAAGGCGTTTAATCCTATAATAACATTAAAAAATATCAAAAGGCTATGAAAGGATTACTATGTTTATTAACCAGATTCCTAAGAATTTCCTCGGCGGGCTGATAAACGAACCTTTATTGACTGCTTCCGGAATGTTATCACATGCCTTTCCGTTAATGTCCGTGACGTTTATCACATGCAACTTCGTGCATTACCGGAAATTTGTTTGTAAACATGGCAGACGACACGGCTGCGTTAGTCGAGTCTTTGAAAAACAACAACACAGTGCGGAAAAAAGCAAGTGATTTAAGACTTTTCACAAAATGGTTGAGGAGCAACAATGAATTAGATTAAACATGTTTGAAAGACATATCAAATTTTCAGTCCAACTCTAGACAGGATCCAGCCCCAACAACTTCAGGCATAAATGAGATGCCAGAAATTGTCAATGATAATTATAAGGGAAAAACTATGCACATGTTTTCGGGGGCAACCATCACAGGAAAGGTGACAATAATTTTTTTCAAACTAAGAACATGTCTGTATTTCTTCTGCTGAAGTATATGATCAAAAAATCATTACATGTCATTTATCATATCAGACCCTTTATCGACCCTCGTTCATGATATCAGCCCTCCAGCCTGCGGCTCTTGGGCTGATATCATGACCTAGGGCCGATAAAGGGTCTGATATGAAAAATGCCATGTAATAATCTATACATATCAGCCCGCTAAGCAACATTTCGGGAAATATGGAATTCTCTTAAATTTAAGGCTATGATCATACTGTAAATATTATAAGTTATTTACTCTAAGTATATGATAATACTATTTATTAAAGTTTATATTCAAATTATCACATATTTTGTACTGATATGTACGTTTTTGCATTGCCAATAATAGCCGGCAGTCAAGGTTGGTTATCAGCCCTCGGGGCTGATATCGATATCAGCCCTCGAAAACCCATATCGTGCCCCCGAGTTTGACTTCCGGTAACCTGTCAATCAAATACTATTTGTAAACAAGATAGCAACTGAAGCAGACGATGAGAGGTTTCTCACAGTATCGAATGATGATACCAGTAATTTCTTTGAAGAAATGAAAAATGATAACACAAAGAGAAAAACTAAAAGTGACGTAAAATTATTAACTGAATGGTTAAAGGAGAACAACGAATTACGGGCAGTAGAGGATATATCTGTACCTGAACTCAATCAGTACTTAGCCAGATTTTACTTGTCTGTCCGGTCTCGGAAAAATGAGGAGTATGAGCCGGACAGCCTGAAATCAATTCAGTCATCGATTAATAGGCACTTGATGGAAAAGAATGGAATAAATATTCTTAAAGATAAGGAATTTGACCACAGTAGAGAGGTGTTATCCGCGAAAAGAAAGCACTTGAAGTCACAGGGAATTGGAAACAAAAAGCTGAAAACAGATCCATTCTCATCCACTGAAATAGTTTGTTATTTGAACAGAATCTCCTAGGAACAGGTAGGTTTATGCAATATTATCCCGTGACTGTGCATGTACATAAAATGATAATGATATCAGCTTCAAAAATATATGTTTAAGTTTAAACCAGCTAAAAGATTATAAAGAAAAAAAAAATTGCAAAGTTTGTTAATAAGCCATGCCAGGCAACATCAACATAGTTTGTCATACATGTTTCAAGACAGTAAACTGGTATAATTTTTGAAAAATGTGCTGCAGTCTTCTATATAGTGTCATTATTGAATGTAAACAATTTCTAGTGTACCTTTTTAATTATCCTAATCTTAACTCCCAATTCTTACTTTTAGGCAACCCTGAGGCACTACTTAATACCATATGGTTAAACAATACTTTGCACTTTGGTATGAGGGGAAGGAAGGAGCATATTGACATGTTATTTGGAGACATAAAAATGATGACAACAGCGAGTGGTGAACAATGTTTGGAGTACAATGAAAGGCTGACCAAAACCAGGACAGGACACAGTGACAGCAGAGCATTTGCACCTAAAATGTTTGCAACACCAGGTAACTTTCTTTCAATTTATTAAATATTAATATAAAATTGACAGTAAATGATAAATACAGGAACCACCACACAAGTATGCCTACTCAATTCATTCATACATATATAACTTACATGTACTTTTAAAAAGAATACAAACAAGAAAAAAAAACACAAAATATCCCAGAATATCTAGCCACCCGCGTCAAAGAAAACAGAAACATGAACAAAATGAAAAGAATAAAAATATATCACTAAAGCTAATTCATCTTAAAATAAATTTTAAAAAATGTAAATATTGTTTTAATGTAATATGATATCAAGATACAAGTCCTTGATTTTTTTCTTTTTCTTATAATAGGTAATCAACGATGTCCAGTCAATGCTTTCAAACAATATATTCGACGCCGCACTGAAGATACTCTGACTCCAGACAGTCGCTTTTATCTAAGTATAAAACGGATAATACAACCTGATGCCAGTGAAAATGCTAAACAAACATGGTTTACCATGCAGCCATTGGGGAAAAAAAATCTAGGAGATTTAGCAAAAAAATGTCTATGAAAGGTGGTCTTACAGGAAGAAAAGTTAACCATAGTGCTCGCAAGACTAGTTTCCTCACTTCTTCACTCCAATGTTGAGGCTACTACAGTCATGCAGTTGACAGGCCATAAGAATGTTGCTTCAGTCAATGAGTATAGTTCAGCATCATTACAGCAACAGCAAACTATGTCTAATATTTTATCTGATATTGGTTCAGGAAGCCGAGGATTAATACCACAAGAACCAACACTAATTTTGAAGCCAAACCTGCAGATTTTCCTGAGGATGATATTTTGACAGTATTGAACTAAATGTAGTCTGCAAAACAATAGAAAATTTTGAATCTGCAGAAAAAAATGTAAAAATAACACATTTTCCATTCTTCCACAAGCTTCTATTGGAAATGTTACAATTAACATTTATAACTCTGAAAAATAAGATTATTGTTATATAATTGTTGAATTTTTCACATCACTTTATTTTTTCACTGTGATACAAATTTTGTTAATGCACTGTGATACATTTTTTTTTAAATTTTTTATTCAAATGTTATTTTTGTTGAAAATATTAAACATAATTTGATATATGCCTTCTTTTTCTCCGGCTTGAAAATATGTGATAAATAGATTATTACATGTCATTTTCCATATTGGCCCTTGTATCAGCCCTCGACCCACTTCAAGCCCTCTGGCTTGATATGGGAGTCTAGGGCTGATACCAGGGCCAATATGGAAAATGCCATGTTATAATCTATAAGTAATAAACTATGACGTGATGACGTCCATTCGTATTTGATAAAGCGCACAATTGACCAAACGTCTCCGTGAAGGATAATAGAGTGTCTCCATTGGATTAACCAATCAAATTTCATTTCAATATTATGTATACTAAATATTATTAACATTTTGAATCTGCAATTAAATTAAAATCCCCAAAGCACAAAATTTCAGCAGAAACTGTATACATAATGAGACGAAAGCAGTAACATTTCACGTTTAATTAATTATGCATCATATATTGGAAATTACCATTTACTGAAGATGTCGCTTTTAAAGTAGATATCTCGTTAAATACTTAACAAATTTCAATATATTTAATACTCAGTAAACATGTATATCAAACGGGATGTATAGAGACAACACACACGTTCATTTTTATCTATAAAGTAGTCACTCCTAACTATCCTACTATCTGTCGATACATTTATTTTTGGCATTGCACAAGTCATGTCTTCTTTGACTGTTCATGACGTTAAAATACTAAATCCCTTGGATGTGTTTTAGTTGATTTTAGTCTCTGATGCATGATTTTTTTTATTAATTGTTTTGGCTTTTAACTAGCTGTCAGTAACTGCGAGTACTCTCAAATCGTATTTTCTTGTTAATTTGACCTGTTGGTACTATTTGTAATGCTTTTTTGTTATTTAATGTTAACATGGATCTTGTCTATATGCCAGCTTTGATTATTTGGAATTACTACAAATTTTCACTTCTTCGTACTATGAACATCAAAACTATTTCATTTCTCCTTAAATACTGTTCTTGCACCTGCACAGGAAGTTTTATCTAGCACTAATTGTATAGTTTTATTGTTGATATTCACCCCATATGTACCAAGTGTTAGATTAGTTTTATTGATATAAAGAAATTTCTTGGTATTCCTAAACGGAAGATGTTTATACACACAGAAGAAGAAGGATACTTAACAACAAAATTATTTTCATTTACCTGTGTATAATATGACGCAGGTTTTTTCAAAAGCGATGATTTTCTAAAAATTGTTTAAAATTTCACAGTGGTATCATACTTTAACTTTGTTTAAACCTGTTTATTTACTTTTGACCTTAATTATTTATCCCTTATAATTTTTAGTAACTATGTATTTGCATTCAGGTATCACAGATCATATTTATATGTTCATTGTGTGTTAATTTGCGTTTTTTATAATTGAGTTAAGCCTTCCAATTGATATTTTATATTGTGTCTTTCTATGATGTGATGTTATACTATGATTTCAGAAAAGGGAGACCATTAAAACGTTTAATCCCGCTGCAAATGTTTGCACCTGTCCTAAGTCAGGAATCTTATGTACAGTAGTTGTCGTCTGTTTATGTAGTTTATACGTGTTTCTCGTTTCTCGTTTTTATATAGATTAGACCATTGGTTTTCCCGTTTGAATGGTTTTACACTAGTAATTTTTGGGACCCTTTATAACTTGCTGTTCGGTGTGAGCCAAGGCTCCGTGTTGAAGGCCGTACCTTGACCTATAATGGTTTACTTTTATAAATTGTTACTTGGATGGAGAGTTGTCTCATTGGCACTCATACCACGTCTTCCTATATCTATATTTAAACATAATGATTTGTTACAAAATTAAATATAACATGTAAAATGTAAAATAATTTTATTCATTTTTCAAATTAATAAAATTGTCCATTTTGTGAGCGTTTGCAGACTTTCAGGGACAATGAAATATTAGAAAAGATACATTTTTAAATTCTTTAATTTACTTTTAAATCTGAAATCCTCAACACCAAATTATATGGTTTACGGGGAACTAGGTCGCCATCCGGTCGACATAGATATAAAAGTTCGAGCCGTATTATTTTGGGAAAATTTGATATCCGGCAAACAAGCAAAGTTTTCCTTTATATTATATCAACTTTCTCGCCATATGAATGCTCATTATAACATGAAGACAAAATGGATTGTATTTGTCAAAAATATATTTCAAGATTGTGGTGTCTCATATATATGGGAAACACAAAATTTCATCAATAAAGATTGGTTAAAAACTGTTATAAAGCAACAACTGTTAGACCAGTTTCTTCAGAATTGGAATTCGCTAATCCAAAATTCGTCAAAAGGTATTTACTACAAAATGTTTAAGAAAACTGGATATTTGAGCAATATCTTAATATTTTGAACTTTAGAGATGCCATCGTTCTTTGTCGATTTAGAACGACTAATAACAAATTGCCGATTGAAACAGGAAGGTGGCAAAACGTATTGAGAGAAAACGGTGTTTGCCATCAATGTAATAATCGACAAATTGGAAACGAATAGTTATCAAAGGTACTAATTATAATTTAATACGCCAGACGCGCTTTCGTCTACATAAGACTTATCAGTGACGCTCAGATCAAAATAGTTATAAAGCCAAACAAGTACAAATTTGAAGAGCATTTGGGACCCAAAATTCCAAAAAAGTTGTGCCAAATACAGCTAAGGTAATCTATGCCAGGGATAAGAAAATCCTTAGTTTTTCGAAAAATTTAAAATTTTGTAAACAGGAATATCACTATATATTTGAATGTACTTTTTTCGATCAAAAACGTACAGAGTATTTATCCTCCTATTTTGTACAACGACATAATACAGTTAAATTCTCTGAACTTTTGTCGAGTACACGAAAACCAGTCCTGAAGAAGCATTGTTTATTTATAAAAAATATTAATACTTTTATTTGTCTTCCTGGCTAGTGACTTTTGTAACCTCTCTCCTTGTTTTGTATATATTGTAAATAGTTATTGTTGTTATCTCTGTACTGATGTCATACATTGGCTTTATGAGAATAAAGATATATATGACAATTTGAAATAAAGTGTTGGTTAATTAGGTGGGCGAAGCTTATAAAATTGATAATTTGGCTGTTTTCAGACGGCATAGGTTGTTTTCATACAGCATGGGTGCTTTCATACAAACCAAAAACATATGACAGTATCAAATGATTCATCTATCAGCTAATAAAAGAACAGCATGTGTATAAAAAAATACCCACTGTAAATAAATTTTAACATAAGGAGATGTAATGAGACTGCAAAAAAAACACAATAAAACCAAAACAGCTCTTGCTTGTAAAACATAATATATAAACAATTTAACAATTTTTTATAAAACAAGTTGTAATTCAATATTATGTTTCATTTTCTTAGTTATTCGACTTGTGAGTGGACAATAAATTCGACCGCAAATGCACAGTTCTCGATAAATATTGTATATACAGACTTTGACGATTTCTCAACGTATACGTGTGATCAGACAACGGGATACGGCTTGTCAATATGGGAAGGTATGTTTATGTATCAACAGTTTCTTTTTTCAATTTAGAAAATTCTGCCATCGACCCTACAATAAGAGATCAATGTGTTCAAGTTACTTCTCATATGAGGGACATAAAACATCGCTCGACCGTTTTTGACAACTACTTTCATGCATATGTTATAAGCTTCTTAAAATCACTGATTGATTAAACTATATATCTTTCTCATTACTGATTTAAGAAATCATTGATAAAACTGGTTATTACAAAGTATTACGATTAACTTTTTCAAAGAATCATGTTTTTCACTCGAAAAGATCGTCAACTTCGCACGCATTTATGACGTCACATAATTCAATGTACTAGACGCGCCTCTATACGTGCTCTGTTAAAGTTTCAAGCACTTTTTAGAATCGTAATTCGTTAGTCTAGATATAATTTATGTCCCGTAAATACGTAATCTTTATTCCCGTACGAATGAAGGGAGGGTGACCAACTTTTAGATTTTAGTTTTTCAAGCCTCGCTCACATGTGTTGGAAGTGACGATGTCTACATTTTGGTCACGTGGTGATGGAAGTCACATGAACTGACTCCGGTCTCACCCCTTCGATAAAATTTGATTGCGTGAATTTTTGAAGTATTAATTAACTTTACATCCTGTAACACAGTTCTCGTGTGTGTGGTTTGCGTTGTTTAGTTTTTAGTTTTCTATGTTGTGTTTTGTAAAATGTTGTTTGTCAATTGATCGTTTTTCGTTTTTTGCCATGGCAACAATAACAACAATTCTTTATTTTTGTTATTGTTGCCATGGCATTGTCAGTTCGTTTTCGATTTATGAATTTCAATATCCCTTTGGAATAAGTTGCACCTGTTCTCTATAGTACACTATTTTTTTTATAAAACTGATAAGTGATTCCCAATCTAAAAATAGATTATTTAACTGTTAGGATTGAAAGATACTCTACAATTTTCCCTGTTATTGCTGGATCTCTTAAAATAAGTGTTTATAGATTTTGTAAACAGAAGACAATGCAAAAAGATACCTAAAACTAAATCTGAAGCGATTTTTGTTCTTCCTTATATCTGTTATTTTGTTGGTAAAAACAAGGAACGGCATCAAGGAAACCAGCTTTTCAAGGACACCAGCTTTTCAAGGAAGTATTAGGCATTACAATGTTCTGATTTGAAGTCAATTTTTAATACAATTTCTGGTTTTTTTTTTTCCAGATTCGGTAATAAAATACCAGCTTTGTGACTTTTTACCAGATTCACTTGTTTCCATGTACGCATCTGGGGGACATACAAATACAGTGAAATTCAGGACCCCAATAATCAATGGTGTTGACAGAGGATTCATAATCACTTTAAAATATATTGGAACAAGTAGGCTATTATTACATTTATTATGTTTATATTAACCTTTTATATATAATATTATATATTCTAACCTTCAACAACTTTTCAGACATATGATTTCACGGCGTTTAATAAAGGCAACAGTAGTATACCGGTAAATCGATTGAGAGAAAACAAATCCGGGTTACAAACTAAAACTGATGGTAAACACATCAACTATAAGAGGAAAAGGTGTGAATTTTATGACTTGGTGTTATACGATGAAGTTATAGCGTCTAGACGCCTACAATCAGATTTCATGATGTTGAATTCGATACTCTTTTTGTTTATGAATATCAAAACTTAAAATTATGTGCATTCAAAGACTTTTTCTTGATTTACAACCATCAGGAACGGTCAAACGTAAATATTTTAAAGCCAGGTATACGTCATAATGTGAAAACGATAGGAGCTATTTGACCAAACGGAACCTACAAGTATATCTTAATTCTTCACCGAGGGAGTTGAAACCTCAGTTTTCTTTTATTTTTTTATCATTTATGAATGCAGAATTTTAGACAATTATGAACCAAAGCATTGTATAACCCGTTGGTGAAACCCTTGGGAACAAACAGTCTACTAGCAGTGTTTTTTTTGTGCTAGTAAATGATGATAACAATTTACGCATGTCGTGTTACCGAAACTCTTTTCTGTATTTTACTTTATCGACCAAGTGCGGTAAATGACAGATTTCGTGCTTTGTGAGCACTTTTTATATTAACTTTTACAAATTTCGTGTTTTCGAACTGGTATTGGATTTACCTGTACAGAAACTGAATCCTAACTATTTGAAAGCCCAGGATATTAATAACACGTAAAAACTAGAGAAGCTTTATGACCAAAAAGGACTAAAATAATTGTTCCAATAATAATTCATTTAAAGTCAACTATGCCTGAGGGAGTTGAAACCTTAGTCATTTTTTCCTTATTAATGTATGAATACTTTTTCGATATGTAGTTGCTGTTCCGAGTAGCGCTATTCCTACTGTGGCTAGCTTGTTTAGTGCATGTGGTTCCCAGTCTAACCCAACACGTCTTACAGTTGATAATGTAACAGAACAGTTTGTCATTTCACCGGGTTATCCAGGTCAATACGCCAAGTATGTATAAATAAAGGCAACAGTAGTAAACTGTTGTGTTATAGTCATAAATCGATTAAGCGAAAACAAATCTGGGTTACAGACTAAAACCGAGGGAAGCATATCAACTATATCTATTGTTAAAAAGATAAATATCACTACAACGGTTTTTTTACTGATAAAGCTGTAAGAAAACAAACTCCTCGTCGATACCATTATTAGAAACTGTTTCAAAATAAAAAGATTTTCAGTAGCATTTTTGTCATCCGTTTCGGAGTAATGTCAATAACTCTGTTTCTTATTTGCACATGATCGGATTAGATAACATTAACAAATGTTAATGAGCTGATAAAATTAAAAGAAAAAACTAAAAAGAAAGCCAAACTCGGACATGGAACCAAAGCTTTGCGTAAGGAAGATACATTCGTTAATTTTAAATGACTTCTAAAGTTTATAACAGCACATTTGAATAGGACAATATCCGTATTGTAATGGCAGTACTAAAGTGCTGGTTCTGGGCTGGTGATACTATTAAGGACAAACCGTCCAATCGCTGAGATATTGACAAAGTGGTAGAATTGACATACACGGTATCAATTTTATTGCCCCAGATGCGCATTTTGACAATCAATAACCCTTTAGTGATGATTGAGTCCGAAATGTTTAAAGGTACGAAATATAAAACAAACATTAAACATATATTTATAGAAACAAATAAAGGCAACAGTAGTATACCGCTGTTCGAAACTCATAAATCGATAGAGATAAAAACAAATCCGGGTTACAAACTAAAACTGAGGGAAACGCATCAAATATAAGAGGAGAACAACGACACAACAAAAACACAACATTAAAATGTAACACACACAAAAAACGAACTATAATATAACAATGTCCATTTTCCTGACTTGGTACAGGACATTTTAAGAAACAAATGGTGGGTTGAACCTGGTTTTGTAGCATGCCAAACCTCCCGCTTTTATGGCAACGTCAAACACAACACCAAAACGACAACATCACATGACAGGACCACAATACAAATAAATGGGAGAACATATAGGACAAAGAAACACATGAATAATAGATAACAAAAGGTACTATGCTTAAAATTCAATACGCGAGACGTGCGTCTCGTCCACACAAGACCAACCAGTGACGCTCAGATGAAAAAAGTTTGAAAGCCAAAACAAGTACAAAGCTGAAGAGCACCGAGGACCAAAACTTCCAAAAAGTTGCGGCTAACACGGCCAGGGTTTTCTGCCTGGGACAAGAACATCCTTATTATTTAGAAAATAATTTATAATTTTGCAAACAGTAAATTTTATAAAATGACTATATAATAGATATACATGATAAAACCGAAGTGGGGACTAACTACAGAATAAAACGGATACCTTACTTAAAACAACTTAATCCAACACATTAAAATACACAGCCGAGTTGGCCAAAGCCTCAACGCACAAATAACGTCACATTTGAAATTCTAAAAAAGACACACAAAGTGACGTCACATTTGAATTTGTAAAAATATTTCCCAAAAATAAGATAGGATTAGGATTGATTCAAGATTAGATTTGTAATACTGACATTACATTTATTAATAACAATGAAAATTACAATACTTATTAATATCAAATTGTGGTAGTAATTAGATAATTAATTGTATTATCTAGCTATGTCGGTGTTTCTTCTGAATCAAACTGTAAATCAAATACATCGTATAAATTTTGTTGAACCAAACTAAAATATGATATGTTTATAATCTCGATATGTTTATAACCTCGATATTTACCTGAATAAAATTAAGAATGGAATAGAACCCATTGATTCAGAAAATTCAAAGAATGAACAACGACGTTCGCAAATGAACATTAATCTCGTCTAAGACTAACTACATTTCGTCAATGGCATACCGAGTAAAGCAATTTAGCTTGACAAAAGTAATTTTCAGCTAAAACATTCGTTATTATCTTTTCTTTTCTTTTTGATTCATTTAGTATTCGATAAAATTAGAAATAACTGTAAAAAATTGATATCCATTTTCAGCAATCTTGACTGTTGGTGGATTCTATCATCTTCTACTGGAATACGAATACGTCCATACCATATATTCATCGAAGCTGCTGATATTATAACAATATATGACGGTAATAAACACGTATATCAAATTAAGGATGTTCGCTCTTCTTGTTTTTGAATTTTTGTCAGATAATCGGAAACCTCTGGATTTATCCATGTAGTGTTTGTTTGCCCGCTCACCCCTACTATTCTTTTCATAATTTAATAACATATTGTTTAAAAAGCCATTTTTTAAAATCTTATATAATCCTTGTTTTTTTTCATAGTTTTAGAAAGAAAAACGGCGCCAATGTAAAATGTCTGAAATATCTAGAGAAAAAATGTCCCGCCAAGTTTTCATTGGCAATTATATTAAAAAGGTTGTTAGTTTTTAAATAGAAAAGTAAACATCCTTAAGAAGGTATGTCCATGTCATGTGAAGTAAAGGGAATGTTTTTTTGTTTTGTTTATTATTTTCTTGATTAGTCTCTTTTAAAGGAATTTACAAGATTTGAACATTGGTTAACTAGTGTCGCCTTAATTTAGCACCCTTCTATTTTCTTTATTATTTGACATTTCAATCATTCCTCATTTCTTTTTTTGGCTTATTCTCGATTCTGAAACCCCACTCATCCTCAGATGTGATCGTCACAAAAACTTCGAAAAGTCAAAATATTTCCCCTCAATTTATCATTCTTTTTATGAATTTCATGACAACAATAAGCTTATTTAATAAGTTATAATCCTGTTATATATTACACATTAAATAATTCACCTGCCTTAATTTTTCTATTGTTTTTTATGTTTTTTTTTCTTTTTTGGCATACCAGCTCTCTACTATTTAATAAAATCAGTTACAATGTAATCTATATCAATATAATTCTTTTTATGAATTTCACAGGACCTACCTCGGGCTACGTATCTCTTGCGTCCTTTTATGGAACATACAGTTCGCATTTGTCAACTTATCTGTCAACAGGAAGTAGCGTCACAATCAGATTCAGCACTGACGGATCAACAACAGACACTGGCTTTTCTATTGGCTATATCGAAAGTTCACCAGGTGAGACGAATGTATTAAAGCTGAAATAATATTTGTTATTTCGTATTTAAAACCATCTGTTTTAAATTGTCACAAACCAATGAAGTAAAATCATTGATATGCTTTATTTAAGAAATACTTGATGGCTTCTGTTTGTACTTTATTATTGTACCAAAATATCTAATATCAAGGGGTGTTTTTTTTATATTTTTGAAATGTATTGTTCGCACAGTCAACTCTATTTGTAAACTAAACATCAATCGATTAACCAATTAATCAATGATCAACGATTTCTGACATAAAGTTCATTGCAGATGAGTTTCTTCCGGATTTTTAAAACAGTTATAAGTCAAAGATAAGCAGGCAAAACCGTGACCAAAAGAAAAATAAAGAAATGACAATATTAAAAAAAAATATCGTGGCCCAGTTCGTGCTAGTCATTGCAGAGAAATGTTCGGCGATGCATGTGAATCAGTGTGCAGTCAGAAGGAAAAACAGACGTAATAGACTATTTTCATATTACCGACTTTTGACTCCGGATTATATAATTTGTCGACTGGTTACCTTGGACATCATGGTACTCGGTCAAGTAAGAGCAACCAAAATAAGTAAAATCAAACATATAATCAGTGTAATTTGAGGGGAAAGTTTACTGTTTACCGATGATTTTGTAGTGAAAAAAAATGTTAAGCCGGTAATTTTCCCCCAAAATTGTACCGATTGAACGCTTGGTTTTACTTCTTTAGCTTGCTCTTACCTGACTTGGTACCATGATGTCCAAGGTAACCAGTCGACAAATTATATAATCCGGAGTCAAAAGTCGGTAATATGAAAAAAGTCTATTGAATAGTCTGTCGCTAGTTGACAAGGATTAAATTACCTTTCCGTAGCACCTGAGATTACCCAAAGATTTTGGTTGGGTTTGTGCTGTTCAGTTGTTAGTTTTCTTTGCAATTTTTTGTTAACTTTTTTGTCCTTTCGCCGATGTCTGTTTGTCATGGTATTAAGTTGCTAGTGTCGTTGGACTGATATCTCATTGATCTGTATGGTTGTTTCCTAAATTTAAAATATTCTGATCCCCAATTTGAAGGGGAAAAAAAACTATTGTGGTCATGCAGATGACTAAAACAAATATTCTGAATCCAGATTTTCCCCATACCTTATAGCGTTAAATTTTGAAAAAAAGTAGTTTGATTGATAGCGTCGAAAAAGAAATGTTCCCGCTTTGCGCTAAAAAAAAATTCTGACTCATTAAAAAAAACATAACCACCCGCCACTCCTTGAAGTTAAATGGTTGCTTCCTAACCTATATCTTTACTATTCATCTTTATATATATAACAGTTATTCCAAGTTGTGCACCTAATGGATTCGTACTTTTGAACGCTACTACTACGGAAAATACTTTACAGTCGCATGCAGGATATGGATCCACTGATTATATGGAGTAAGTTATATCTTGATAGACCATGTGATTCTGTTAGTACACACTTTTAAAACAAATTACTTCCCTTTGTCAATCGTAGACTGGTTCTATACCGGATAAAATTGACCTTTGCCCACGCAAAGCATGATAAGTTGAAAGTGATATATCGGCGTTTCTACAAATTTTAAGTGAAAAATAACTTCTGTTATCAAAAGTATTTAGCATAACAACAAATTAAATGTAATTAAAAGGTATGAAAAACTCAAAGGTTACACACATTACGCACAAATAAATTTGCTCTTTCCGCTAGGTCTCCATTATCAACAAAACATTATGTCCCTTCTAAGGGAGACCACAAAAAAAGGGATCTACAGGAAATTGGCAAACACACTATTGTATGTATGGCCATTTTTATAAGCAAATTTGTAATAAACAAGGCATTAACTCCTCTATACTTAAATAGTCTTGTTTTACAACAAACTCTGACGACGCACCCATATCGTATATTTGTGGAGGTTTTTTTCGACTACCTCTACTTTTGTTTCAAACCTTTATGGGTATGGCCTTCATGAATGTATGAGATTTGAGCATCGGTAAAAAGTAAATTAACAAAAATACCGAGCTCCAAGGGAAATTTAAAAAAGTCCTTTAAAAAATGCTAAAATCAAAAGCTCTAACACATCTAACGAATAAAAAACAACTCATATTTCTGACTTGGTACATGTTGATAAATATTCCAAATCATCTTCACAAATAATACACGATGGTCTTGGAGTATAGATTCTAGGTTCTGACGTTGTTTATTATCTTAATAACGTGTTATAGTATTATTTTATTTGTCTTTGTAAATTATTACTTTTACTGTCTAGTCTATTTTTGGTAATATTCATTTGACGTGGCTCGGTACTTATATATCTCGTTATTGTGTTCTTGTGCTATGGTAAATTTTTGTATTCTTGTCTCTCGTTTTTGCTAATGTGCTTTGTCTGTATGCCTTTTTGTTTTTGTTTGTTGACATATTTTTTTGTTTTTATAGTAATTAAGATTATAACACAATGTTGACTGCTGTACCCATATTTTTGACATTTTTACCTATAATGTATGTTTGTTTTGTTCACATATCGTTGTCAATATAATGGAACGGTATTTTTGTTATTTTACTTTTTCCTAAGTAGAAATTGGTGGATTAAATCTGATTTTAAAGCTAGATAAAATCTCACTTGTATGACAGTTGAGATGTATGAAAACTACTGTTGCCAGTAATTTACGACAAATAATCAAGTTTTCATGTTTTTAATATAATACTAATATAATTTAGAATTGATGGGAAACACATGAAAATTTAAGGAAAGACCTCGACCGACAGATAAAAATAAGTCGACAAAATACATTATTCACCTTGCTGACATAAAACTAAGTACAACTTAGGAATCTTTGAGAAATATGTAAAAAAATGCGTCAAATAGATATGGCATCATAACAATTGAGAATTTAATAATTATCAACAGAACTAGTGAACATTAAAAAGGATATTTCATCATATGTTTTATTTAGCTTGCGGTCGACTTATTGTTCCACTTTCTCAAGATCAATGCTATATTGGCTGCTATATTGGTTCCAAACGTCGTCCAATGTTAAGCCGCTTTAACAGATTTTCTAGATAAAAAAGGGAGAAAATACTCAAGGAGAAAGAAAGTCGAAGTAAAGGAAAGGTAAACAATAGCATAAAAAAGCATAACAAAAATTCTGAACTCCAATGGCAAAATTAATTCAAAACGGGGGAAGTCCACAAAATCTTTCAAAATCAAACGGAATTTTTCGACATTAATGCATCGCATAAGACAAAAAATACAAACAGACAGGTAACAGTCCACAAAACTCCACACAGAAAAACTAAAATTAGGAAAAAGAACGCCAACAAAAATTACGGACGAACTCAAGAGGTTAAAATGTTACTATTCTACAAATAGGAAAAGAGGTTAATGACTAAAATCGCAAACGTTGTTCTTTATTTATTTATCTGTATATAAGTTTATATGTTCCCTTATGGTTTAAGGTGTATATAGTTGCTACAATTATACCCTATGGGTAGTGCTCCACAATTAATGGAGGAACATACAAGAAACTGAACTGACTAAAATTCAGGCAAACTTTATTTTACTTACTAAACTACTGACTTAGTTTTTCAAATTTTCAACAAAAAAAACAGTTTAGTCAGTTCAGTTTCTTGTATGTTCCTCCATTAATTGAACTGAACTGACTAAACTGTTCTCTCCCTTAGCATCGGAAGTTACCTTAACTTGAAAAATGACCACAATTACAGACCTTCTTGAATTCAAACTGATCATTTTTCCGTGCGTTCATCGTGTATCGTGCGTGTTGCGTGTGTGTATCGTGCGTGTACCAATCTTGCACTCATCATTCATCATTCCGTGTGTTTTCCGTGTATCGTGCGCTCATCAATCATTCATTCTTAACCGTGTAACGTGCGTTCATCAATCGTGTATAACCGTGTAACGTGCATTCGTCAATCGTTCATCTCTAATCGTGTAACGTTCATTCGTTGTGGTTTTTATATGATAGTCGGTTATAGAGCTCATCAAAGCTTATATTTTATTTGTTATAGTGTATATATGTTCCGACTTTGAATAAAATTTATATTCTTACTTACTTTCTTATGAACTCTTAATTAACTTCATCGTACATAACGTTCATTCAGATAAATGACTTTTTGTGTTAAATTAATTTATCTGTCTGTAAATATTTCGTGTTTATTCAGTGAGTCTTGGCAGGGACTGACACATCTTAATATAATGATACGTAAAAACAATTAGATGATGACATTTCTACGACAGAACAGTTAAAATTGGATTTTCTATTCAACTGAGCGCAATAGGCTAAAAAAATATTTTGTTGAACAAATGTTTCTTGTTAAAAATATTCTGTCAATTAAAAACAGAAGTGCTTTTGCAAGATTTAGATGTGGGGTAGCTCCACTAAAAATAGAAACTTGAAGGTATGGAAGAAAAGAAGTCCACGATATGACTTGTTTTGTAGCTCTACTATTGAAGATGAACTTCATGTCCTTTTAAAATGCCCATTATATGTAGATTTAAGACAAATCATGATATATTAAGCTACACATTTTAATGAACATTTTAACCTATTATCAGATAGCGAAAAATTTATATTTTATTCAATAACGACAATGATGCTGCTATAGTTGCCAAAAACATCAACAGTATTTTATTGAAAAGAAACGGTATTTTATTTCACTAGTTCTTAAAGAAACAAATGTTTTATTATCATTTAGTATGGACACTGTAAATTTTAAATGTAAATGAGTAAAAATATGTTTATATGTATATATTGTGTCTTAAAAGTCTCTCATAAATCTTTTTAAGATTGGTGCATATACAGTGCAAATGTTTTAATGTTTCATGTTTATTTCTGTGAATCCCATTTTATGTGTGTATGTGGTGAGACTATAATAAAATATTGAATCTAAAAATATTGAAACTATAAACTTTACTTAAATCTATACAATCATTTAAGTTTTGATAAATACCCTTACACATATCATATTTGTCTCAGTTTCTGACGGTCACATGAACATGATGGTATTCCATTAAGAAAATACAATATACAAGGATGTCGGGTAAATGTGGATTGCGGATTAAGAAGTTAGATGTCAAACTTGAATTAACAAACTGAGGCGAATTTAACACGGATATGTATTTTCTCTTCAACAGTGTTTTTATTAAACTAAGCTAAATACGTTTTGTGGCAAATTGAATAAAAATAAACATTATATGTGCTTGAAGGCATTTTGTAATTTAACAAGTATAAGATCAGGTAAATATATCACGTATTCCTTAAGAAAGATTTTTAATTGAGGAACTTTTTTAACTTGAAATTGTGTTTACGGGTTTAAAATACAGTTTTTTTTTTAATTTTCTGAAAAAATAGTTAAATCTAATTCTTTATTTGAATAAAATAAACATGTAACACTTTCTCGGATTCACTTTTCATCGTGCCATTATGCATATCCGAGACACCGTTTTTAATGTTTGTCTAAAAGATTGATATCCGAAAAATATTTTTTTACAATTATAGTACTTATAGTTAACCTTCTAGGATTTTTAAAGAATGACGGATTTTTTTTTACCATGGGGGTATTTTTTGTTCCGTTACTGAGGATATTTTTTGTCCTTTACGAATCCATATGACCAATTTGACTCCAATAGGGATAAGTTTTGTCTCATAGAAATTTATCCGATATATTTTTTTTTTTCATTTTTTAGTTATTTTGAAAAATACAAACAATTCACTGAAGTTTCGTATGCATCTACATGTATCAAAATCCAGCAATTTTTGTCTAGTAATACGTACAAAAAAGTACACCATATGATATGCAACTTAATCACCAATGAATGAGATGGAGTACATTTATCATAAACTTGGGTTTTTAAATCATTCCAATTCTTTTTCATCCGAGCTTTCATTGTTGAGGAATAATACAAAATACACGTTTGACTCTCAAATTGGTTCAACATTATAAAAGGTGAACCGTTAGGTCTTGTCTGTATCCTTATAGCTCAAAACGGTATTATTTGTTTTGCTTTATACATTGATTAAATAATGAAATGTATGTTTCAGAAATTTACACAAGTTTAATTTCGGCTTTGACTCCCGGGGACACTGTTGTTTACAGTAAAAGACGAAATCTACACTTTTACGTCGTTATCATAAAGAAGATGTGGTATGATTGCCAATGCTCATAATTATATCATAATTATTGTTCTCCCCCTAATAATGAATCTATAATAGATGCCACTGGACGTTAAACGATCAACTATTAATTCATCCATCTTATCCTTTTAGTTTTGTGATAATTGGCATATCAAATACATGAAACAACTGCAGATTTGCACTAAAGTTAGGAGACCGATATTATTGCACATATAAAACACTCATTCACATCCCTACGTTTTGATCCCCTCACAAAAAAACAACACTAT